GTATGGTGTCAACACATCCATTCATAATTCCTCATACAATCATTTGCAGAAATATCTTTTGACACAGATTTAGTGTACTTTTGCCAGCCTCATCTTGAACTTAAAGTTAAACCATTAAACACACTAAGACAATCTTAGTGTAAATAATCTAAAGGAAAGTGGATAACAAGGAACTTTTTCTTATCTGCCCAAAGGAATGAGATGTTAAAGAATAGAACTTCAGTACATGGATTACTGGAGAAAAGACACCTAGCTTCTCCCCACCCCTGTGCTCTTTGCTAGTGTTGTATTTAATATTCATGCACTCAATCAGTATTTCTTGAGCACCTATTCTAGACAGTGCATAAAATGGAATTCTTCATTAATGGAGTTCATATTTGAAGCTAACAGAGAAATATACTAATTAAATATTGCAAAATTATAAGGATAAAAATAAAGCAGGGAAAGACAGAAAGTGTTGAGGGCAATGAGAATAATAATTTTATAATACTCAGAACCATGGGAAGAATTTACTAACAAATAAATATTTTAGTAAAGTCTTGAAGGAAATAAAGGAGTAAACCATGAGAGTATTTAAGCAAGGACCATTTCAGACAAAGCAAACATCAGGACTAAAGGCCCTGGAATAGGATTGTTCTTGGCATGATCTAAGATCAGCAAGTTTGGCTGGAATAGAGTGAGCAAGGAGAAAAATAAGCAAAGGTAACTGGACCAGATCATGTAGGGCCTTCAATATCATTGAAAGAATGTGGGTGTTTATTTGAAGTGAGATGAGAAGCCACTGTGGAGTTTTACATAAAAGACTTAACATGACTCAATTCGTATTTTAATAGACTCACTCTGGGTCTTGTGTTAAAACTGGAGTAAGAGGAGAAAGAAGGAGAATCATGAGGAGGTATTTCAGTATCCAGATGTGAAAGGATGGTGTGTTAGAACAGGGTGGTAATAGTACAGGCAATAAGATTGTAAATATTTCTGGAAGGCAGAGCTGATGCAATTTACTGATGAACTGACCATGGGCTGTAGGAGAATGAAGATTTAAAGTTGACTCTTAAGATTTCCTGCCTGAGCCATTAGTGCAGAAAGTAAAATGTGGTATTGCCATTTACTAAAGTACTGTATAGAGGGCTGGGGATTTAGCTCAGTGGTTCTGCTGCCTGCCTCACAAGCACAAGGACCAGGGTTTGATCCCTGGTATTAAAAAAAAGAAAAGTAAAGTACTGTGTAGAAAACTACGGAGGAGCATATTTGGTTAATAAGTGGTGAATATCAAGAGTTTAGCTTTGTATATATTAAGTCTGTTGAGTGAGGCAGTAAAGAAGACATGGCTCGTGATCTGAATTGTAAGTTTCTTAAGATCAGAGTTTGTGTAATATTCTTAAAAAGTTCAAAGAACCTTCAGCCAGATTCTCACTATAATAAACAGAAAGTGCTAGTGTGGAAATTAAACAACCAGGTGATTCCACACTAAATAGAAATATGAGAAATTCACAAAAGCCTTTACAATAAATGTTGAAATAAAAACAGAAAACTTAAAAATAGTGGATGTTCAGAATACCCAATGCCAACTAAATAGCCTCAAAATGTAAAATATTTTCAATGAAAAAAATCACTGTATAGAAAGCTTTAGACTGGAAACAATTAGGAAATTGGAAGACAGAATTAATTCACTTATGGGACAGTGCAGAAATATGAAAGGGTAAAATATTTGAAAGACACATAAGTGATAAATTGAAAGATGCCAACATTTATCTATAGAATTAAAGATGTGCCAGTAAAAACCATTTGAAGATGACAAGTATCTTAAAAACAGCAATAGATACCAGAATTAGTAGTATGTTTAAATTGCCAAAAGTAAATTATTTTTAACTTACAATTTTATACCCAGCCAGGCTGTTATTCAAGAATAAATGACTTTTAGATTTTAAAACATAAAAATCTAGAATTTGCCACTCACAAACTGCTGTATAAGAACTTCTTAAGAATATCCTTATACTCGAACCTGGAAGAAGGGTGATCTAAAGTGAATACAGAAAAAATACAAAAATAAGATATATTGTAAATTTTCATTCTCATGAGAAATTCATTCGTCATCATGAATGCAAATATTCCAGAACTTTTTTAGGTCTTTTAGTACCTTATAATGATCATCTGTGTCATCTGTTATAATCATTTGTCTCTTCTTAATGTCTTGCACTTATTAAATTTTGTACAATATCCCTACAAGCTGAAAAATTATATACACTTGCCAATAGGAATTTATAATTCCTTCAGTATCATAAATTTGTACCTGAAGGATGCATAGCAACACTTGCTTATGACATGAGGAAATCTTCATTGTCAAGAGCTTATTTATGTGTATGAGTAATAAACAGTTTCAGTGAAAATTTGTGAAATACCTTTTTATAAGACCATTTCAGGGGTCCCCAAGACCACTAACATGTTTGGCAGTTTTATAAAAAAACCCATATAGTTTACTCACAGTAGGATTTATTACAGTGACACAGCAAGGATGTAAATCTCAGAAAGAACAAAAGATACCTGTGGAATCTGGAGAAACCCATATGCAGGGTTCTTGTGCTCGCTCCCTCCAGGTTACACAGAGCATACTTTTCCCAGGAAGCAAAACCTTCACATAATTTGCAGTACTCCTTCCCAGAGAAGCCCATTTAGAAACTCAGTAGCCAAAGATTTTATTGAGTTGGTAACTTAGGCAGCTTTTATCTAGTAACTGCCAGAATTTCAGATTCCTGTATGGAAAGAGGATAGTCATTGCCCAAGGTGAGAAAAACAGTCTGTTGATTAAGGAAGCTTCCTATCATTTTAGGGAAATTTTCAGCAGCCAAGTTCCAAGATTCAAATCAAGGGTCAGCCCTGCAAAGAAGGTGGCACCATTAGGGCTCCTGTATTAATTCTACTGCACAGAAACCTAACTGCATAGGTTTTCTCCCATTACCTACCAAACAATATAATTGAATTAATTTTTCATTTTAAAAAATGTCAAGTGCCTCGGAAAAATAAAATCTCTCTTGAAAGTACCCCACTGTGATATTTACAATATTTGCAAAAGAAATGTAAGACTTTACTTCATTGAGTGATGGATTAATTTGTACTAAGTAAAAGTGCCCAGGTATCAACAATATATATACCAATTATACTCTGTAGTCATTATCTTTGTGAAAGTACTATATATTTATAGGAAAAGACAAGAAAATCTTCTCAAAAAGAAAACCTGGAAAATGTAAGTGTGTTTTTGTATAGATTTTTAAGTATACCTACAGGTTCTAAGGAATAGCATTCAAGAAACCTAGAAGGTACATTATGTAATCCAATTCCTTGAAGCTGTTATCCATGTTGCTTTCTAAAAAACCAACCCTATCTTGCCGTATTTCAAAATAATGAGATATAAATCTGTAATGACTACCTGTGAAAACACAAAAGGAAAAAACCCAATCAGTAATTTTACAGCCAAACAGTGTTGGGAAAATAACTATATGTAAATTAGCCATACCTAAGCACACTAGCCTCAGTTATTTGAGCTACTATTTTGAAACAAAATGCACTCAAGCAAATCAACACAGCCTAATGGGGTTTTTCTCTTTTGCCTTCTCTCAAAAATTGAATTTCTTTGGCCATGGATGCTGCAAAGGTTGATACATGTATAACATACATGCACATATACATGCACACATGTTTATACTGCTTTGACACTTGGGTGATGATTATTTCTGGTTACATTATATGTCAGCAAATTTTTTGCCCCCCTATCTTTACAATTACTACACATCCATAATATATTTATTAGATTATATAAATTATACACCAAATAAGAAAATAATTATGTAAGTAGAATATTATATTATTAGTGAATATACTAAATAATATGGATATATTACATAAAACCAAGACCAGCAAATTTTATATAAATGAAATTTCAATTGCCTCTTACTGATATATTGATACATCTTCATGAAGAAAGAATGTGTTACCTAAAAATCATTTTTGAGGAGTATCTGTGAATTAAAAACCAACCTACTATCTGTATTTCTGCTTGTCTAGCTAATCATGTGAACATAATCTTACCACTCACCAACAAACAATCTAGCTTAGTAGACTAACTGGAGGCATTGAATGATAGTCGTTAATCAAAAGCTAGACCAGTCAATATAACTGTGAGTTTTTTTCCAGACATATTAAGCTGTTCAGGTACCTGGCATGGATGAAATAAACATATTTTAACTGGATGACTGTTTAACTGGGCAGGTATAATTCAGGGAGCATAGTTCATGGGAACCTTTATAAGGATGTCATTTGGGAATCAAGTGGGAGGAGTGAAATGAAGGCATAAGAAAGTAATATATTAAATGAATTAGATGCCTTAATATTAGACTCTTCAAACAATAGTTATTAAGGTCAGTGGCTGAAGTGTTTTTAAGATATCAAACATGGTCATTGGTGTGAGTAGCTCAAAAGTAAGAAGGTAAAGATAATTGGAAATCAGCAATAAGGAGCCAAGATGATGACATCATGTACGTGAAGATCAGTCCCCAATAGGAGTGCACATAAAAAGAAAACACTGATCCAAGTGCTGAAGTATTTAGAGACTAAAGGAGTTGGAGATGAGTGGGAATTGCTTGCCTAATTCATAAGATGTTTGTAAGAATCAAATGTTATATTCTCTGAAAAGGTACAATAAACCCTTACAATAAGGATCAAATTTCGGTGGGGGGAGTAGGGTAAAATCCCTTAGTTTTACCAGTGCTTCATCACCTGGTTACTCTACTTGTGAAATGAGGGTAAAGACAATATCCTATCCTGTTTCATGAGAGATTAGAAAATTAAGAGACATGATCTATTAATTTATTTGAACCTTGATGGGGAGTACTTTTTCTACCAGGATTTAGAGTCCTCATTTAACCTTGAGAGCTCTTTGTAGCCTGCTGGTATTCTGGATCACACTCTGAGTAGAAGATAACATTCTTCCTTATCTTTGATTTCAGACATTTCAACAGTCTTCTCTGCAGCACAAATCAAAGAAGAAAAACAAAGGTAAGAAATAGAAAGCTATACCTGCTTATTTTGCACTGTTTTAATCACCAGCACCTTTCACTCATCCTCTTTTGCTTGAGTTCAAGATGGTTTGGAAAAGTACAACCCTGTAGTGAAAAGAGCTATCCAGACCAGATTCTTCTTCAGTTTGATTTCCAGACTCGGTACCTTTTACAACAAATGCTCCCAGCACACTTTGAAGTGAGATTCCATGTTTCTGATGAGGTTCTGTCACTTATGTGGAGGAAAAAGTATTGAAAGATTTCCATACTTTTAGGCTGGGGGTTTATCTCAGTGACACTTTGACTGCCTCTCAAGTGCAAGGTCCTGAGTTCAATCCCTAGTACCAAAAAAAAATAAATAAATAAAAGATTTTCATACTTTTATATTCTAACCCAATCTAAAAATGATAAGACTTAATTTCAGGATCTATAATTAATCCTCTACATCTTTTTCAAAATTAAAGCAGCATGTGCTTGCTTCAGCAACACATACACAAAATTAAAGCAGCATTTTAACTTACTATTATATTTAGGTCCCATAGCAGGCAAGAGCAAAAGACGAATTTCTTGCAAGGATCTTGGCCGTGGTGACTGTGAGGGCTGGCTTTGGAAAAAGAAAGATGCGAAGAGTTACTTTTCACAGAAATGGAAGAAATATTGGTTTGTTCTAAAGGACGCATCTCTATACTGGTATATTAATGAAGAGGTAATATACATTTTTGTATTCTTATCCATTCTCTAACCAAATGTATCATTATTTTGAGATTTATATTTCTTAAAGCCAACTCAGGAGATAAATTCTAATTATTGAAGCAGATAAAGTTTAGTAAAATTGTATATATACACATTTATGTATATAATAACTAAAAGTCCCAAGCAAATTATCTATACATCTCATAACTAAAAGTACCAAGCAGATTCAAGCAGTAGCTTATCCAAAAGGACTATACTTGAAAATTTAATTCAGATTTTGAAATACATTGTTTTTGTTTAAAGTTTTACATTTTTTTAGTTGTTTATTGATATATTTTAGGAATACAATACAGTTACATTCATCATTGGGATCTTGTACCTTTACATGAAGTATATTGGTTCTTATTTTTCCCCAATCTGGGGCCCTCTCTACCCCCTCCACCCTTCCGTGTTTACAAAGACTTTGTTTCCATGTTTTTCCTTTTCTTATATTTTTTATTTTCCCTTCTTACCTTTCCCCTATCCCTCCCATTTCCCCTACCCCTTTAGAACTTTTCTTCGTATTACACAATATCAATTATACATTTTGATCTTTATTTGCACTTTTAGTTTTTCACACCAGAGAAACTATTCAGTATTTCAACGTGTATCTTATTAATTTCACTTGAGTATGGCCTCAGTGTTCATTCACTTAGCTATAAATGACTAGTTTCTCATTCTTTATGGTTGAGTAGTACTCCATTTTATTTAAAAAAAAAAAACACTCGTCTTCTTTATCCAGTCTTCAGTTGATGGGCAATTGGTCTGTTTCTAAGTTTTAGCTATTATAAACTGTACCACTATAAACATGGGTGAGCATATATCACTGTGGTATGATCCTTTTAATTATTTTGGGAAGATACCCAACAGAGGGATAGCTGGGTTAAATGGGACTTCTAATCCTAGTTGTTTGAGGTATCTCCATATGGATTTCCACAGTGGTTGCACCAGCCTGCACTCCCACCAGCAATGAAGAAGGTTTCCTTTCTCCCCACAGCCCCACCAGCATTTGTTATTGGTTAATTTCTTGATAGCAGCCATTCTTTCTGGAATGAGGTGGAATCTCAGTGTTGTTTTCATCTGCATCTCTCGAATGACCAATGCTATTGAACATTTTTATCTTCCAGCAAGTTTAGTGTTTCTGTTTTAACATTTAGATCTTTAATCCACTTCGATTTTAGTTTAGTGCATGGTGAGAAATAGGGGTCTAGTTTTAATCTTTGGCAAGTTGAAATCCGGTTTTTCCAACACCATTTATTAAAGAGGCTATCTTTCCTCCAGTGAGGATGGTTGGTTCCTTTGCCAAAGATGAGGTAGCTGAGTATGTCTGGATTTGTTTCTGCATCTTCTAATGTAATGTTTATCCCCCACAAGGGTGGAGCTCTTTAGCAGTGTATGTAAATTAGTATGAGCTGAATTTGTTTTTCTTGTAGAACAATGATTTCTGCTGTTAGCTTATCAAAAAATGTATGTGGCTTAACGTAGTATATAGGTTAAAGTCTTTTAACAAATACTATTAAGATGTTCATTTGCATTTGATGATTAAAATGATTGTTGAAATATAATTTAACAACATTGTACTTATGTTACAGCACACATTATCTAGAGTATTGGTGTTTGCTAAACAAGCTGTTATGTCATGTCACATTATGTCATGGTTAAATATGTAGACTCAGGAATCACATCACCTGAGTTACTGTGCTTCAACTTCTTCATCTAGGAGTAATAATACTTAGCTTACTGAGCTGTCTTATAGATGAAATGAATCAATGAATGTAAAACCTATTTAAAACAATACCTGGTACATACTAAATATTAAATTTGCTAATAGTAATATTTTAACTGAACTTTTATTTGTAAAACTGGGAATTCATATTTTCTATTTAATATAAATATATGTATTATAAATACAAAAATATTTTAGTGGTTTGGTTCTTTTGATTTTTTTGTGGCAATCATGCAATTACTTAAAACAGTGATGGCAAACCTTTTAGAGCTTTAAATGATGCAGCCTGCTGTGACATGCATGCCATAGGTTTGCCACCACTGACCTAAAATATCTTGTCTCAAGTGTCTTCTTTTAGCTATATTAAACTTCCATTTTACCTGTATTATAATTTAATAGATAAATACTTTTTCTATGTCAACCAGGTAATTAAGAATTATCCAAAATCTTAATGTTTTATACAAGCTATTCCAACTAATCTAAAGCTATCTTTGGTAAGCTCTTTAATCATTGTGCCCCTTCTCCTGGTTATGACCAAGCTCCTTAGACTTTTACTCAAAAAAACTTTTTATTTGATCTGTGCTATACCAGCCCATAGAATCTTTGAGGAGGGGGCTTTTTTTTCTTTGGTACTGGGGGTCAAACTCAGGACCTTACACTTGTGAGGGAGGTGGTGGCACCACTGAGCTAAATCTCCAGTCCTTCATAGAATCTTTTGTTGTTGTTGTTACACAAGTACAGTTTATTTATTTATTTATTTCTCTCATTGAGTTTATTGGTACATTTTAGGTATACAGTACAGTTACATTCATCACTGGAATCTGGTACCTTTAATTGGGATCTTGTACCTTAAATATCAAGCTCAAGTGAGGTTACATTCCCATCCTCTTTTTTTAATCCAACATTAAAGTGAGGAGAATTTTATAGATTTTATTCTGTTTTCCAAAGGAGAAAAAAAATATACACACACAGCATATTTTGCAAGCCAGATATTTGAAGATCAAGTTGACCTATTTCATTTTTAAATTCATGAATATACAAAATCGTGATTATATAATTAGAAAAAAGTTAATTTAGATTTGATAAGAGAATTATTGAAATCAGACGGAAAACTGAAACAGTAATTATCTCTATTTATATCTGAACATTAAATATAATAGAAAATCATGTATTATAAAGGTGAACTACAGTTATTTTGTGTATTATAAATATATGTATACCCTCTGACCAGAACTTTTTTTTTTTTTTTTGGTAATGCTAGGGACTGAGTCCAGGGCTTTACAAATGCTAGGCAAGTGCTGTGAGCTACACCCTCTGCCCCAAAAGGTTCTTGTAAAATATGTCTCAGTAAACCTAAAATGTACCAATAAACTTGATAAATAATTTTTAAAAGAATTTTAAAATTTTCTGTCCCAGTTTTAACATAAAAAGGTTATTAAAGCATTTTATACTTTTAATTTGTAGTATTCTAAATATTCAAAATTTACCTTCAAGCTAGGTATCCTGGCACACACTTGTAATCCTGGCACGTAGGAGGCTGAGACAGGAGGATCTTTGTGAGTTCAACGACAGTATGGGCTACATAGTGAGTGAGTTCAATAGTAGCCTGAAGTGCGTAGTGAGACCCTGTACCCCAAAAAATAAAAATAAAAAATATATACTTTCAAAATATGCCTTCAATTTATGAAATGTAACAGGTAAGAGTGGAGTTCTATTCTCAAATGTCAAATTTGAGTTAGATGAACAAATTTATTAGTGCAAATATTCAAAGTATAATTACACAATAGTACTGACTTCAGCCCTCTTTGTGTAATAGCCTAAACAAGAATCTTGCTTCTTTAGGATGAAAAAGCAGAAGGATTCATCAGTCTGCCTGAATTTAAAATTGACAGAGCCAGTGAATGCCGCAAGAAATAGTAAGTTTATTTTGTTTGGTAAGAGGGGGAAAGGTAAAAGATTTTGTTTTAATTTGCAACCTAAATTATAGGTTGCTTATCTAGTGCTTTCAAAATGAAGTAATAAAGTACTTTTGTGGGCAGGCAATTTAATTTTTTACTGATTTCTCTCATGGTAGAAATATTAGTATATGAACTCAGGTTAGATGTTGAGGCAAATTTTGTCCATATTATTTATTTTGAACTTATTTCCTAATTTTTAATAAAATAAATGTACCTTCTCTTGTTGCAGTGCATTCAAAGCCTGTCATCCTAAAATCAAAAGCTTTTATTTTGCTGCTGAACATCTTGATGATATGAACAGGTAAAGTATTAGTTAAATTTCAAAGTATATGAACAGAACTAAAATTCTGTGTTTTCTACAGTAATGCTTAGAGAAAGTCACTGAACTTTCTACATTGATCAGTTTAAAATAATTCAGGCCTCAGTAAATTTGGTGTTTCTTTCTGTCACTTTTCATCTGTCACTGGACAGGCCTTTACAGCCAGTTGATTAGATGACTCTAATCAATTTACTTGATCAGTTACTTGATGGCTCCATATCTACCACATTCTGCTTCATGTTTAAACAACTTTTCTGATTTTCTCTCTTCTCTTTACTTTCAAATAAAATTGTAGAAGTTACATTTAAGATTCAAAATTTCTCCTTTCTATAGTTTTAGCAACTAGTGTTCATTTTTTATATATAACCTGCCTACAATTAGGGAAAGGTAGCATAGCATAGTGGTCAGGAGCACGTGGGTTTTTTCTTTTAGTTTAGTTTATTAGTACATATGTGCAGTACATAATGATTACATTCCTTGTGGGGAGTTGGTACACGTGCATAACACATCTTAATTCCTTTTTCATCCTCTTTCCCTCCGCTCCCCCTTCCACCCATCTCTTGATCCCCCTTCCTTTTTTGTACATTTTGTAGTACATAATGTTTATATGCCTTGTGTGAAATTATTACATGTATATAACACATCCAAAGAATTAGGAGCATGTGAACCAGACTAAGTTCCAGTTCTACCATGTACTACTTATGTAACCTGGACAACAAACTTGACCCTTCATTATTCCAGTGTATTCAGTAGCTGGTGGGAATAATAACCATCTTAATCCCAGCTTTTCCAATTACTAGCTATGCAAACTTAGGGAAGAAATTTAAACTCTATATGCTAGGTTAGTAGAATAAGGATAATTATCACTATTAATAGGATTTTTATGAGGGTATATATAAATTTTAAGTGTAACATAAATGCTTACTTTCAATACATATTCCTGTGTGTACTTCAAGATTTTATCTCAATTACCTTTCTTTGTATGTCTTTAAGAAATAGTATCTAGGTATTTTAAGCACAAATTTGTGTAGCTTCATAAATATGCTTGAACACCCTAAATGAACCCGTAATGTACTACCATAAATCTTGTTTTTTGATACTCAAGAGTGCAAGCATGTTTTTTCCAATGCAAAGATATGAGCATAAGGCAATACAAAAGAAGGGAGGTTTTGAGAACACTTGAATAAATATTTAATTAATAAAATAACTAACCTTCTCATGTAGTTTCTGCTTCCCTAGATTTATTTGACCTACCAATATTGAAATTTCCCACCAAGCCATTGAAATTTGGAGAGCTTTTTCTCCTTGTTCTTAAGATAAAAAAATGTTTATTCACACATGGCAGCGAGAAGGTGCAATACTATATTTTGTCTCAATTATTTTATAATTTTGTCATCCTAGGTTCCCACTATCCATTTAAAGTTTTATGACCAAATTGAACATAAGTTTATCCTGTCTTAGAAGGTGGATACATTAGATCCCATTCACTACTCTTTAAGAGTAATATAATCATTCGTGATATATGCTATTTATGCTTAGAAATTGTCTGCTTAAAATGCATTTTATGAACTATAAAATCCTTCTTGGCCTCCATTTGCTACTGCATGTTAACAGTAGCTTCAAAAGGATGCTGATAGCTGGGGATTTAGCCCAGTGGTGCTGCCACCTGCCTTGCAAGCTCAAGGTCTCGAGTTGATCCCTGGTACAAAAAAAAAAAAAAAAGATGCTGATGTCACTACTCTTTCCTGATACTGCACTCACATAAACATAGCTGGTTCTGGATGTCACAGAAGAAACTAACGCAAGCCCATGTGGTTCATTTTGGTGCTTTTTCTAAGCAGTCCATCAAAGAAAGACTGGATCTAATAAACAATATATCATTTCCACATTATATATTTAAGAGTCCTAGTCATTATAAGGCTTGCCATAGTACACTTAACCTTTTAGTATTAATAAAAATACTTGTTATTAGAAGGAGAAAAGTTTCAGTGCTAAAAATATTCAGAGGATTGGTGATATGGAGAGACACCCACGTCCAGCTTTGTTCACTTATCTACTTGTTATATAACAGGTTGTCTGGGTGTTGATTTATTCTATTATCTTTTAAAAGTATGTGCTTAAGTCCTCAAGAGAGAATATATTTATAATTATAATAAATATCTGCCTTATCAGATCATGTCATAATTTTTAAGTATCCTTAACTTTTTATGAAAATATAACATGATAAAAAATAATACATCTTTTTTCTTCATATTTAAAATGTGCCATAACATGAAGGCTTTCAAACAAGAAAGTATGGGTAAGCAGATTTTGTATTATAGTGAAAGTTTTAATAAAATATCCAGGCTGACAGAGAAGAATGTGTTAGCCTGACCACCTTATCTAAAATAGCCTTCCCTTATCCTCAGAAACTTTGACATTCTAATAGTCGACATTCTTTGCTTGTTTTTTTAAAAATAGCATTTGATTTACTTCTCGTATGTTTCTTTGTATCTCTCTTTCTTTCCTATCTCCCTTACTAAGATAAAGGCATCATTGAAGTCAGGCATTTTATCTCATTTCTCTCTGTATTATGGATGTCTAGAATAGTACCTGATATCTATAGGCTTTCAATAAATATATTTTGCATTAATTAATACCTTTATGTCTACTCTTATAATAGCCTTAAAATACCACATCATAACAATAGCAAGTACTATATTTTATATTAGTGTCTTCCAAGTAAATTGTTAACAACAAGTTTATCCTAGATAGCACCAACAGTTTTGTAGTATTTGCCCTTTTGTGGCTGTCCTATATCCACACACTTTGTAAAGAATTTTTATTATGAACAGAATTTTTCTTCCTGGAAGTAGGTTAAACTTTCAATTGTCCTTTGAAATTTATGAATTTTTTAGTACCCAGTAGCTATATCTTACTCTTTCCTCTATCCATAAAATATACCTCATTGCTTAGCACATACCAAGCCCTTAATAAATGTTGTTGAATTATAAAATTGAGGAAGCTTCTTTTTAATTTCTTGATTCATCTTGTAAGAAACCTCACAGTCCTCTAGAACTCTGATAAAATAGTAAATATAAGGCACTGGATTAAAATTCAGTGATGACTTTGCCTTTAGTGGTATTATCATGATTTTCACCAAAGAGCAAAGGCTAGTCTTTCCAAAGAATCATAAAATTTGCCTTGCAGTACAAATTTAACCTATCTCACTACAAATGAACTATAGACTAGTTTTTAATTTTAACCTTTACTAATCATTAGAGTCCTTTTTAAAGATTGTCATGAAGTTGACTTTTGACTATAGTTTATAATCTTCTAGAGTTTGTGTTTATAGACATGCTATTGAATTCAATGTGAACATTATTCCATTTCTACTTCAGTCCCTTCCTCACTTCCCACACTTATTTTAATAATTCATTGTAGGTTTTGCCAAAATAGTTTGTGTTAAGTGAGTTATTCTTAAAATTAAAGTTTTCATAGATAGTGATTTTTGCCTTTTAGAAACACAGCTTTCTTTCCCTTTCGAGATATGCTTACTACCTGGTGCACATTTAATATCGCTTGAAAAAAATGGTGAAATACATGAGTCCCTTCATAGAATGTAATCTTCCACTTGATAGGGAAGAGAAGATGTTAGGTGAAGAAGTTCTCAAACAGAAATTTTTATTTATAATATATCTACATCAGATTATTCCACAGTTAATCTTTAAATGTAGAGACAAGTTTCTGAAGTAGTCATGAAATGTGTTTGTCCTTTGCTCATTAAGTTTAAATGAGCTTAATCAAAATATTATTCCACTGTAAAACTATTATTTTCACAGGCAAGGTCCTTAAGTTTGTCACTTATGAGAATAAATTGTACCTGATATTCTTTATATTTAAAGGAACATTTGTTCTGAAGAAACAGAACAGCAGGAATATTTAAAGTGTTTCTACATTTGGTGCAAAACAAATTAGTACAGCTTTGGTTATCTCAAAACCCTTTATTTTACAGACTGTTAACAGCATTACTCAGGTATTCTGTTGAAATAGCATCTTAGGTGTGGGAACACTGTGCTACAATAAATGACTCATTGAATACTCAATGTATCAAGAGTAGCAAAGAACATATAGGGTTATTACAAATATTCTTAGATATCTTAAATATTTTTATGAATTAAATTACAAGTAAGTTGCAGTTTATTGTGTTTTTTGTTTTTTCTTTTTTATTTTGTTGTGGTTCTTTTGTTTTTGGTACCAGGGATCAAACTCGGGCCATTGCACTTGTAAGACAGGCAGATAGTGTTATTGATTTCATTATTTGTTTTTTTCAGGTGGCTTAACAGAATTAATATGCTGACTGCAGGATATGCAGAAAGAGAGAGGATTAAGCAAGAACAAGGTAATGGAATACCCATTTATACAACTGTATCATACTTTTATTCTTTCTGTTATCCTGTACAATTATTCATTGCTATTACTTGAAAGAACATATGTCAATGCATGATCATTTCTGTCTAGGCAATTTGAATATAGATCTAGCCTCTTATAGGTGAGGTTAGTAAATGAACAGATAGGGGGCCAGGGATGTGTAGCTCAGTGGCCCTGTACCTGCCTAAAACCAAAAGGTTCTGAGTTCAATCCCTGGCACACAAAAAAGAAAAAGAAAAAGGAACTGAACTCTGAAATTTTTGGAACAGTTATTATGGAGTTTTTTCCTAAGTATTGTTTTCTCCTTTCATCTATTTCTTAGGAGGAACTGAAATCATAAGAAGAAAAAATCCTATAAGTGTTCTTAAATACTGACCCAAGGCCAGGTCCCTGATAGTGAGCTTTGTTTGTTTGTTTTACTATTTATTAGTTTCATAGATATTTTAGTAAACTTTTATACAAAGAGGTCAGATTGTGATCCTTTCTTTTTTAAAGTATCTGATTTGGTGATGCACTTCAGTTCTCTTACTCTGTGACTCTCTGATCTTAGGGAATTTGCCTTGGTACTGACCTCAGATTTATAAAACATGTCATGATGCATAACTGAAATATTAAGAATGAAAGCTGTGGTCACCATTCTGAGGTGGATTCACATTTCCAAAGGGATGCTTCTACATCCCTTGAAAGCATAAATAGTTTCTTGAAATTATTTGAGATCTTCTAAAGTTAAAAAGAATTCCATAGATCAATACAGATGCAAACAAAACTTCTCTATATTTGTGTCTCCAATAAGTCCACCAGTTTATTGATGTAGAGATTCTTAAATCCTATGTCTTCTCAGAATTAGAGTAAAATCTCAGCCAAAACTTTTTTTAAAACATCTAAAAACTAAAGTATTGGTGACTAAGAGATGACAATCACATTTCAAAATCAGTATTTTAGCAAATGTTTAAGCAGTTGTCATTAAAGGGGTCAGATAACATTTTGACTTTTGAGGACCATAGACTATCTCTGTTGCAACTATGCATCTCAGCCGTGGTAGTGTGACAGTAACTATAGATACTTGAGTGGACATGGCTATTTATCAATGGGCTTTATGATTTTATATCATGTCAGTTTTCATACTTTGAAGAATATTTTTCTGTTGACTTCTGTTTTAGCCATTGAAAATTTAAAAACCATTCTTGGTCCACAGACCATGTGAAAATAACTAGAGATCCACAGTTGACCTGCAGGCCAAGGCTTACTAACTCTTAGTTTGGTCCATGGGATAAGGGAATGGAGATTGCTGGTGCATTGTAGGGGTGAGAAAATAGGGCCGGAAAATCCCAAATAAATAGCAAAACATAGTTACTGCTAAGGGTAATTTATCATCTTATTGTGGATTTCAAATATTATTTAAGAAAAACTAAAAAGCAATACAAATGCAAATGAGTACTAATCTTTACAGAGCGTACAACTGATAATAATTTGCATGGATTTAATTTTTTTTCAAAAATAATTTGAGAAGTAGACAGAGTTAATGAGGGGGAAGTGATTTTTTAAGAAAGTGGTCAGTGAGGCTGATATAAAGTCTGCAGTGGAGCAGGAAAGAAGATATTGTATTCAGTATTAAGTTCTGTGCTGGACCCTCAAGTAGCACTCATAATTGTATAAAAGTGAACTGCACACTCATCTGCCTGAAATTAACTTCCATTGTAGTAGAAAATTGTCTTAGTGTGATATACAAAGTTAAATGTAATAAAGTACAAATCAGGTTCCACAGAAATGAAGCTAAAGATAGTCCTTTTAGGACAAGAATGGAGAAAGATTTTATGTTGACTGTGTTTTCATGTGGACTCAAGGAAGTAACTAACACATTTGAGGCAGTGGAAGCTGCATAGAAAGTTCCACATTTAATGACAGAAGCCATCTCCATCAAGTCAATGTGCACTGACAAATCTTAGCCAAGACTATGAAACATTAAACCAGTTATTAATACACATACATGTCTCAATGATTAAAAGTTTATTACCTTCATGCATCAGTATAAATTTGTTCTTTTTATTGAGTTTATTGGTACAATCTAGGTCTACAATACAGTTACATTCATTACTGGGATCCTATATCTTCACATGACAGGTCTTGGTTCTCATTTTTTCCCCTTGTCCCTGCCCTCCCTTCACCCTCCCCATTAACAAACTCTTTATTTCTATTTTTTCATTTTCTCATATTTTTTCTTTTCCCTTATTTCCTTTCCCCTACCCTTCCCACTTTCCCTAAAACTTTAGCCCTTTTCTTCCTATTTCACACTCTTAATTATCCCATTAGGATCTTGTATACTATTATAGTTTTTCACACCAGAGAAAATATTCGGTATTTACACATGTGTGACTTATTTATTTCACTTAAGAGTATATCCTCAATATGTGTCCATTTTCCTATGAATGACTCTAATTTCTCATTCTTTATGGCTGAGTAGTATTCCATTTTATAGAAAAACCACATCTTCTTTATCCATTTTCCAACAGATGGACTGATGGGCTCTTTCCAAGTTTTAGCTATTACAAACTGTACCGCTATAAACATTGATGCGCATATATCACTGTGGTATGATTCTTTTAAATCTTTTGGAAAGATACCCAGCAGTGGAATGGCTAGGTCAAATGGAACCTCTAGACTTAGCTCTTTGAGGTATCTCCATATTGATTTCCATAGTGGTTGCACCATTCTGCACTCCCACCAACAATGGAGAAGGGTTCCTTTCTCCCCACAACCCCGCCAACATTTGTTATTGTTTGATTTCTTGATAGCAGCCATTCTTTGTGGGGTGAGGTGGAATCTCAGTGTTGTTTTCATCTGCATCTCTGGAATGACCAGTGATGTGGAACACTTTTTCATATATTTACTTGCTGCTTTTACTTCTTTGTCTGAGAAATGTCTGTTCATTTCAGATGCCCATTTTAGAATTGGGTCTTTATATTTAGGGGAGCTGATTGTTTTGAGTTCTTTATATATTCTAGATAATAGTCCTTTGTCTGAGGAGTAGTTGGTAAGAAATTTTTCCCACATTGTAGGTTGTATCTTAGTTCTGTTGATGGTTTCTTTTGCAGTGCAGAGCTTTTAAATAAGAGGAGATCCCAGTTGTTGATTCTTTCTGCTAGTTCCCATGCTACTGAGGACTAGTTCATAAAGTCTTTTCCTATGCCAGTGTCTTCAAAAGTTCTGCCTAATTTATCTTCCAGGAAGTTTAGTGTTTCTGTTTTAATATTTAGATCTTTAATCCATTTGGATTTTAATTTAGTGCATGGTGATAGATAATGGTCTAGTTTTACTCTTTGGCAGGTTGAGATCCAGTTTTTCCAACACCATTTATTAAAGAGTCTGTCTTTCCTCAAGTGGGGATGATCAGCTCCTTTCTCAGAGATGAGGTAGCTGAGTACATCTGGAGTTGTTTTTGTGTCTTCCAGTCTGTTCCACTGATCCTCAGGTCTGTTTCTTTACCAGTACCATGCTGTTTTTATCACAGTGGCTTTGTAGTATAGTTTCAGATTGGGAATTGTTCTACCCGCTGCCATATGTATGTTGCCTAGGATGGCTTTTGCTATTCTAGGTCTCTTATGGTTCCAAATGAATTTTTGAATTCTTCTTTCTAGTTCTGTGAAGTATGGTGTTGGAATTTCAACTGGTATTTCATTGAATCTGTATAGCAGTTTTGGTAGTATGGCCATTTTCACTGTGTTGATTCTTCCTACCCAGGAGCAGGGGAAATCTTTCCATTTTCTTATATCCTCTTCGATCTCTTTAGACGTCTATAGAGTGTTCCACCCCACAAAATCAGAATATACATTCTTTTCAGCTGCACATGTGTCATTCTCCAAGATAGATCACATACTAGCTTACAGAACAGGTTTGAATAAATTCAGTATAATTTTATAAGACTAAATTTGTGCTAAAAATACTGAAAAAATGCCAGCTTTCTTTTTCAAATTTCTTTCAAAGACATAAAACATTTCTCTGATTTTTTTTCTGATATTTTTATTTGATACATAAACATGTCACATCTTTATCCTTTGTCCTTCCCCTTTCTCTCCCCTGCCTCTCATCTAGCCCCCATCCTCAGATCCTGCTCCTTTCTCCACAGTGTCTTCCAGTTTTATATAATCTTTCTTTTATTTTACTCTTTAAAGACACAGATGAGTAATGTACTGATAGGAAAATGAACCTATGAAAAGTGTCAATTTGTATAAGTAAAGAAACTTGGATTTTCAGGCTTGAGTTCTGTATTTTGTTTCTCAGCATTACTTTGAAGCTGAGCATGACCTTAATTTTAGTGAATTTCTTTTATACATGAAATTATATAATCAGATTTCATTGTGGAATACAAGAATTGGTAAATTATATTGCATATGCACTTTCCAAAAATTATTTATTCTGTGGATTCATGCTGCCCTAGTTTGTCATGTGAGTATATATTTTATGCCTACTGAAGTGTAATAGAAAATCGTAAGCAGAAGCTAATCATTACAATTCAAGTCTCTCTTGGTACGGCAACCAGAATCTCAAGTAATTTTGATTTCCACAGAGTATAAGGCATTTTAACATATGGCGAAAGTATATTAGATTTCTGTCTAATGCATTATTGGGTCTCATGGTATTCTATTTAGAAAACTAAGAGATATATACATCTACTCTATACTTTTATAGTTACTTGATATATTCTAAGTACCATTCTCAGTATTGTACTTAAACTTTATACAAGAAGTAGTTCATTAGATGTTGATAGTAGGATGCTAGTTATCAGAGGCTGGGGAAGATTAGAAGGGTAGGTGAGAAAAGGATATAATCAGTGGTTGCTAAGTTTTAGTTGAATGGAGTAAGAATTTCAGAGATGTTGCATAGTAGGGTAGCTATAGATAATGATGATATACTACATATATCCAAAAATTGAAGAAAGAAATAATAAGTGAGGCAACAGATATGTTTACCTTATTTTTTAAAATTGTTTTGGTATTGGAGATTGAACTTAAGGCCTTCACACTGAGCTACGTCCCTAGAGCTTTTTTTTTATTTTTAATGCTGAGGTAGATCCCCTAACTTGTCCACGCTTGGCTTAAACTTCCAATCTTCCTGCCTCAGCCTCGCAGAGTGCTGGTCTTACAGGCCTGTTGCCAACATATCTAGATTGTTTATCCTAACTGAAACATTACAGTGTATACATGTATTGAAATACCACGTGGTACCCGTAAATATGTATGTTTTTAATTGTAATGTACCAATTAAAAATTTATATTTCTTTAAAATCAGAAAATGTACCTCTGAAGGTTGAGAATGTTTCACCAGGATGTAAAGAAATACCTGCCAAACACTGTTTCTTTCTAAATACCAGTGCTGCTTGGAAATGACTCTCTCATTGACTACAATAAAGTTTAAGGGGGAAAAAAGGGGTTGGCTATGTACCTCAGTGTAAAGGCCCTGGATTCAATCACCAGTACTGGAAAAAAAATTTAATGATTGCTATCTTTAGTTACAGAAGTATAACGTATGTAGAGTTCTCCCCAAGTGTGGTGGTGCATGTCTGTGATCTCAGCATTCTGTGAGACTGAGGCAGGTGAAATACAAGTTCAAGCCCAGCCTGGGCAACATAGTGAATTACTTAAACCCTGTCTCAGAATTTAAAAAAGAGCTGGGTATATAGCTCAGGGCATAGGACCTGGGTTCAATCCCCAGTACCACAAAAATAAATTTTTTTTAAAAAGGATGGGAGTCATTTGGTATCCATAGTAATAACATAGTTGCAATTAGAGAAAACAGGGAACAGGTTTACAGTTAATTCAGCCGAAATAACAATTTGGCTTACTGTTATGATATGTTGATCATTTTTCTGTTTGTTTCATTTCAGTTTTGATATTCATGACATTATTATTAGTCACATATAAAGTCTTCATAAAGCTTTACTCACCAAAAATGTATGAAGTATATTGTATTTCTTTAATAACTCTAAGTGAGATATTCAAGTTCTTTTAAGAAATTATCTTCTGGTTCAACATGCAAAAGTAAAAATTATTCATGATTAATTAAAAGTTATATATTATTGTAATAGATATTAAAGTATCCATTTATTAGTGGGGGTTGGCATACTTAGCCCTTTCACCTCAAGCACTGACTTTACAATAGGATTTTAGGCTGTCCTTAAAACTACCTCACCTGGGCCCCAGCATACTCCATATTTCATTTTTCATTGCTGGAACTTGCTACCAAAAAACTAATATCTGAGAAGATAAACAACTAGCATTTGTTGCCTGTGTAACCTAGGTCAGACTGTCCTGGCTTGCTACCTACAAATACATCCTAAAAAATAATATTTATTGGATTCTTTTGCGGTACAAGACACTCGAATATATGTTGCCTTGTTTAGTAGCACATTACACACAATTCTGAAAGGTGATTATTACTACCCCCCCCGGTTTTATAGATAGAAAAGCTTACCCAGAGAGATTAAGTAACCATCCCAAAAGCACAAAGATAGTAAGTAGTCTAGTCAAGAAAAGAATCTTCACATTGCTCGGCGTATAGGTCATACTTTTTCCACCAGGATTTGTTGAGTCTGTTTCTGGACAAATATGTCAATTGATATTTGAAAGAAGACTTGGTATATTACCCATAACTGGCGAGTATTTCCATTGTTTTTTTACAATGAAAAAAAATCAAATTTAGGTTAATCATTCCTTATCTTTAATTCAAAGGAAATAATTAAAATAGAAATAGAATTGTCACTATCCTTGTATGTTAAGATCTGAATATAATGGACAATTTATTTTATTCTTGATCTCTATTGCTGAAGAGTTTTTGTTCACAATAACCAAAGTCAAAAATCAGGAGGAGGTAGAATCAAATGATCATAAGTATACTTCACATCAAACTCCCCTGCTGTGTTAAACAAAAGAGTCCCAGAAATGTCCTCAAGGCCTTAGGACAAGGAAATTTCTAAATTCTAATACCAACTCCATTGCTTCCTATATAATAATTTGTCAATACATGCTAGCTGCACTTATTGTCTTAGTTACTTTTATCATTGCTGAGACAAAATACCTGACACCCAAAGAGAAAGTAAGATTTATTTTAGCTTATTGTTTGTAGAGGTTTCAGTTCATAGTTAGCAGTTCCACACAGGATGGCACGGCAAAGGGGCATTGCAGAGGAAAAACACTTTATAATGAGAATGCAGAAAGGCAGTGAAATAACAATCAGCAAGCAGCAACAGATGGCAGCAGCCCTCTTTCTGTCCCTTATAGATTCTGTCTAGGCTACGTACTCCTAGGGCAGGTAGCACTCACACCCAGGCTGGGCCTTCCCATTATCCGTACCCAGAACTATGCCAAATCAATGAGTGGGATAATTTAGTAATCATGTACCCTTAATCTCAGCATCACACACTTAATCTCAATATCACACACTTAATCCCAGCGTCATACACTCCAGATGATCCACCTCTAAAAAGCCCTACCTATGACCGCATGAGTCCTTGGAGGTACATCTAGATATAAGCCACAGCACTTAATAATCAACATCACAGGAAAAATATATTAAAATAATACAGTATGTGGATTCCTTGAATAGAGGAATTCCTGTAAAATCGTATGTTGTGATTTTTACCTAAATCTGAATATTTATTAACCTTTCTAATGCATCTTTTTAACATAAATTTTGTAAGAATAAGGAACCTTTTGATTTAATTTTTGTTCTTATCAACTGAAACTGATATAGGTAATATTTTTTTCTGGTTAACCATATGAAGATATGACCCACCAGTTGTAGAGTGGGTGAGATATTAGTGGAACAGATTCTGATTGTTGATTTTTTTATGTATTTGACTTAATCTAGTAATATATCCCTTAGATTTGTTCCCCCTCCCTCTTTCCTGAAGTCTGCCAAGTCACTTTGTCTAGTGGCTTACATTTTCTACCATTTTAAGTAGTTCTGGAAGTTTGGGATGTGGAGCCCACATTCAGCACATTTGCCATGTGTTTCCAAGGAGAAGTGGCAGTATAGTATTATAGAAATTCAAGTCAGCATGACTCTAGAACTCTGACTGTTAGATAACCAATGAATTGAAGCCAGAGAAAATAACTGACAACATTATTTTGGGATATGTTTATATCTGTAGAGGTGTATGTGTTCTTTTAGTGTTCATCTTTAAACTAAAATGATATACCTTTAAGAACTAGCATGTGATATCATTATTTAATGTTAGTTTTTAAATAATTTGGCCTAGGATCAAAAGCACTCTAACCCTGATTTGGCCCATGAAACACATTTTTTCTAACTCCATAAAATTACAGCTTGTATGTAATGACTTACTGTAAAAAGAAGTTGGAATTAGGTGATTATGCTCTTCTTTGCTCTTCAAAACCCAGCTAGAAATGAAAGTTGGTGACCCTAGGGTAGGGGAATGCTTCACAGTGTGGTATAGAAATTGAATTTAAATTTTTTGTTAAATGATAATGTGTATTCCTAAAAATATGACTAGAAACATTTAATAGAATGTCATTTTTTTCCATGTGTGAATTTTCAGATTACTGGAGTGAGAGTGACAAAGAAGAAGCAGATACTCCATCAACACCAAAACAAGACAGCCCTCCACCTCCCTATGACACCTACCCACGGCCTCCCTCTGTAAGTTAACAAAATGAGTATACTTAATATATCATAGATTCTTTGACCTGAAACATATGTTTTCAAAAAGTATGTGATGAATTGTATGTCAAACCTCAGGTTCCTTAGAAAAGAAGAAAATTGGGATCTAAAATCAATAAGGAAAATATATTTAAGTTTACAAAGATTATTTAATGAAAATAAACAGTCACCACAGGCTCTAGGCAGAAGGAGTCTGTGATCAGTTTTATTACAAAATTAACACTAGTTTTGTCAGAGTAGCCTTTAGAGATATGTCAACAACAAAAATATTTTCTCAGAAAAAGATATATAAATTTTCTTTGTCCTTTATACACTAATGAAGTTCATTCTTTATCCTTTAGGAACAACTGGTAAATATTAATATTATAGCTCTGAGGGTGTAGCTCAGGGGTAAAGCACTTGGCTAGCACATGTAAAGCCCTGATTCAATCCCTAGCACCACCAAAAATGAATATATCTGTATTAAAATTCTTTTGGCATCTTGTTTTATAAATAGGCACGGGGTCAGGTTTAATGTATATGTTTATAAGATGCTCCAGAATTCTTAGACATGTATAAATTATATCACACTCACGCACACATGCACACACTTTGATCTTTTGATAGTGTAGACAACTGTCCTGATTTGTTTGGACATATGCCGCTTTATGTCTTTTTCCCATCAGAATTACTGAAAGTGTCTCAGTGCCTCAATTTAAGCAATATACTCCACGGTCATGTTACCATAAGAATCAGTTCTGCTTATTTTGACACTAAGTCTTCCACAAAGGAAATGGAAGCTGGATTTATATGACAACAGTCAGTCTGATTCAGTCTTTGTTATTACAGAGTGTTAACCCATATTTTCCCTCTTTTCCTAAAACATCAGGAGCTGAATGATTCTTTTTAAATATTTGTAAAGGAGGAAGAAAAGGAAAACTAACTTCACTGAGCTTCTCTTTAAACATAAACATAGCAACTTGTGAATTTCACTATGGAAACCATTCACACTATTATTAAAATATAGAGGAATAGCAGATCACCCACAGAAGATGTCATGTAACCTCCTCCTTTACTAGGGAGGTGGCTGGCTCCTTTATCTCAGCCAGGCTTTTCAAGGCTGCCACATTAGCCCCATTTGTGATGATCTTGTTTAACTAATCTGGCTCCTTCTGCCAGAAAGAGACCTGAGCCAGCTTATTAACCCCCAGCAGGGTGCTATACAAGTATTTTGTAGCCTTCTCTTGATGTCAGCCCTTTTTCTTGGTTATTTCTTGTGTTATAACATATATTGTGAAACTTCAAATTTCATGGATAAAAATATTCCTTTTTTCTTTTGTATATGTGTAACCTACAGTGTCCACACTCAAGGCAAATGCTAATCTCCAATAAAATATAATCTCATCTTGCCTAAATTTTGAACTCTCTAGAAAATGCCATAGAATTGACAAGATCATAAGGCAGTTTTCCTGTGATACCCATAGAAGCAGGTATTCACCTATGAAAAAGAAGATTTAGCCTCTTTATAGGCAACTTCTCATATCTAAAAGCGTAGCTCCCTGCTCTCACATCTAAGTTGTATAAATCCAAAAATAGAAATCAGCAGACAATTCTTCAGGACTTCAAACTGTGTAGAAATTTTTAAACTGTAATTGTTTTTAGCTGCGGAGTATTTCTTGTGTAAGCGCTCGCATTTTTTAAGACTTCCATTACTGTCAAACTTTGCATTTATAAATGATATTTTTCATAAGAGCCTGGCATAGCAGCATTTCAGGACATCCATGTCTGTCTTTTAAAATGTACGCTGGGGTCTAACTTTGAGATACTTGCAAAACTGTTTAGTCATTGCTTGACTTTGTAAGAATCTATCCACTTAAATGTTCCCTGGTAAAAACTGACTGTGTTCCTTCACAATAGAAGTGATGCTGTTTTATTTCTGTAGAGACTGATCAGAGGCTCTTTTCTACAGATGAGTTGCGCCAGTCCTTATGTGGAAGCAAAACATAGCCGGCTTTCCTCCACAGAGACCTCCCAGTCTCAATCTTCCCATGAAGAGTTTCGCCAGGAAGTAACTGGGAGCAGTGCCATGTCCCCCATTCGCAAGACAGCCAGTCAGCGCCGCTCCTGGCAGGATTTAATTGAGACGCCACTGACAAGTTCTGGCTTACACTATCTTCAGACTCTGCCCTTGGAAGATTCAGTCTTCTCCGACTCGGTGGCCATCTCCCCCGAGCACAGGCGGCAGTCCACACTTCCCACTCAGAAGTGCCACCTTCAGGATCACTATGGGCCATACCCATTAGCTGAGAGTGAGAGAATGCAAGTGCTCAATGGCAATGGGGGCAAGCCTCGAAGTTTTACTCTGCCACGAGATAGTGGTTTCAACCACTGCTGTCTGAATGAGCCAGTTAGTGCCTGTGACCCACAGGATGACGTGCAACCCCCAGAGGTGCAGGAAGAGGAGGAGGAGGAGGAGGAGGAGGAAGGGGAGGCAACAGGGGAAAACATGGGAGAAAAAAGTAAGTATGTTTATGGAGATTCTTAGCCTGTGTACACAAAGCCGCTAACCTTTTCAAGCTCTTACTTGAAGAAAATAGAATTGTTTACCTTTTGCTTAAAATAATGGTCTCGCTTCATAAAAAGTTAGGTCTTCCCTGCTGTCCTACTTTCAGAACTTCAGTAACTTGGACGGGGTGATGCATAATGAACCTTATGTTCCAGGATACCTACAGCTGGAGCAAATAATTTGTTTCTCCTAATTACTCTTTTTTGCCTTTTATAGTTAATAGTATTTATATATTTTCTTCCTTCCCCTACCCACTTTCTTCTCACCTGCATGCATTATCCCATCGGTCCACAATAATAGCCCCTTGACTTTGGTTTAAGAAACTGTAAATACTTCAAGCATGGTGTTAGCAGAGTCCTGGTTGACTAAGTGAACATACATACCCACCAACACCTACACATATTCATATATATCTTCCCTTTTCATTGTCAGATTTAAATGAAAAAATCCAAAAAGTCAGCTTTCCAAGGAAAGATTTCATATAGCATTTCCGTCAACTCCAAATAGCTGAACTTGTTTCTTGAAACCAGTTTGCCAAAAGCATCTGTATACTTCTTTGGTGTACATATTGATTACAGTACTCTATTTATGAGAATCAACTCTGAAAAGAGACAAACCAATTAAGTAACATCTGACTTGTTGGCATTAAGAATATGCTTACTAGGTACACACAAGTTCTTTATCCAAAAAGCCATATGAAGCATCTGTTTATAACAAGATCACTGGTTCTGAAACTGGGCTAGTTTAAGAGGAAGACAATATATAACAAGTTATTTTAGTTAGAAAGAAAATCTAGTTTTTGCTGTAAATCCTGAACATAAAATATAAAATGTCTAAAAGAAATAGTATAAAACTATTTACATCTCTTTATTCAAAATGCAGTCTTAATCAGTTACTGATGATTTTCTGAGTCAGTAGTGATGAAATAAATGACCCATTTGATTCCCTTAGGGCATTACACTTCTCTTTGTGAAGGAAACAAACAGAATATAGCTGTCAGCCCTTTTTTTGTTTTTTCTGAGATAGAGTCTATATAGTTCGGGCTGGCCTTGAACTCACTATGTAGCCCAGGCTGGCCTAGATCTCACAGCAAACCTCCTGTCTCAGGACTCCCCCAGTGCTGGGGTTACAGGTGTGCACAATCATGCCCAACTATCAGGGTTTTGACCGTGGGATATAAGAGTTTAAGTTCTTCAGGACAATTGGAAAAACAAATCAAAGTTAACAAGCTACCAACAACTCAGGAGCTCCACGTCAGTATGAAGCTTGACTCCTTTAAAATAAGATCCACTTTGGAAATTACTGATGAAAATGCTATAGACCTTCTCCTATTATGGTGTAGATCTTCCCTATATCATTTAATGGAAATTTTATATCTTCTACCAATATAAGATTTGCTTATAATGAAATGTACATGCCGAAGCAGTTTCCAGGAAGTACTTTTAGCCATAATCTCCATGAGAGATATTATAAAAGGTATACTGTTGGTGTAAGAAAGGTAACATGGTGCCATGTTCCCACAACATCCACATCTCCCAGACATTTTGGAAGTTCGTGGAAGATATGTTTAGGGTTCATGCTAGGCCTCAACAGCAGTTCTGACAAGCATTCTAATATATGTGTAGTATTCTAACCACATCTAACAACATGTGTAGTATTATCAACATCAGTAAATTATTTCTGAAATTTAAAGATAAGTTAGAATCTTCAACTGTCATCTAGGTGTTTGAAAATGGCTATGACTAAGTGTATGAGGTTTGTTTATTCTACAAACATCGGGGGAAATTCTTTTAGTGATCTTAAACTATAATGTAATTAGGTACATCCCTCTTAGATAGTGAATTCTGTTAAGAAATCCCCTATCATCCCTATAGACAGATTCATTCTTGCAGTCTTTTTTTTAAATAAGCAGGATACTCAGCAGTTTATCCTGGCCAAGAAGCTCTAGATAAAAGGAACCATGTGTAGGATGCACACAGACAAAAAAAAAAAAAAACATGGCATGATGCCTGCCCTTCCTTCAGGTTTCCAGTAACCCACAGAGCATCTCTAGTTAAATTGCTTTTGATTTTTTGTGGGGTCTCTTTTTTGTTGTTTTATGGATATAATTTCTTTTTAGCCATATAGATACACTCCTACATGCATAAGTTTTTTTTTTCGGGTTCTAGGCAAGTTAACTGATAATTATTTGGTACTGTCCACCTTTTTCTGTGGTCTCTCTTCATAGAATAAATGTTGCAAAACATAACAACCCTAGTAGATGTGTCAGTAAATTTAGTATTGCACATTTTGTCTTTAAACTTCAGTATTATGGAGCAGTCGGATCAGTTTCACCAAGGGTAGCCATGCACTGTTGTTCAGGGCCAATTTCTTTCTGTGCATATTCCCATAAATCTTGCTATTGGATGTCTCAGTATACTTCGTACTGTTCTCAACAGAGTTGCCTAGAAGATTTTTCTTATTCTATGGACTATATGTTCATTTTTTCCATTGCTATTTCTAACATTTAGGAGCATACACTATAAAAGTTTCACTTGGAAAACATTACCTTTTAAAATCAATGATTTCAAACTAGGCATAGTGTGCACACCTGTAATCCAAGCTACTTGGAAGGCTGAGCAAGAATATCAGAAGTTCAAAGCCAGGTTAGGCAATTTAAAGAATGCTGTCTCAAAATAAAAATAAATATATAGAAGAGCTAGGTATGTAGCTCAGTAGCATAGCATTTTCCTAGCATGCTCAGGTCCCTGTGTTTCATCCCCAGCATCTCAAAAAAAGAAATCAATATTTTTAAAAGACTATTTAAATACAAGTTAAAGGGTATCATATTTATGGCTGGCCTGGATTGGCCATTAGGAGTAAATGTTCAGACTGCTTATTCAAACCAAGTTGCTTGGTGCTATGCCAGCAAAGCCAAACATTATACACACAAACAAAACTGGATATTACATCAACCTCAAACTTACATCCACTCCTCCCAACACAGTGTGCTCATGTGCTGCCTCATAGATCATCAACAGACAACCTGTACTTGTAAAAATCGCAGTCTAACAGTGTTGTATTACTGATTGTCATGCAAAGGCAGCATTCAGTTTGCCTATTGAAGTGAACTTTTACTAATCAAGTACAGACATGCAGAGGAAATAAGTTTAGTGCCTATAGTGCCAAACATTTTTCTCAGTTTACAAAAAAAATTAAAAATAGCAAATATCAGACAAGTAAGCAAGAGTAGTAATAGAACAACTTAGGAAAATACAGCCTGTCATATCTTAAGGGTGAAAATTATATCAGCCAGAGCCCTTTCTTATTATTTATACTTTGTCCTACCTTATAAATGATATGTATTATATTCTGCTTACAAAGCAATCTGAGAAGCAAGATGTGTCTAAATCTATGCCCTGGATATTTTTCAGTTTTCTTATAGATGTATAATTTGGCCCAGATTATGAAGGGTAAATTTAGCCTTCCTTAGGACAAATTTCAGTCTGTTCCTATGGTTGAACTACCTTTTGCCTTACTTTGAAATTAAATTATTTTACTGAGTCATACTGATTTTCTTAAGCTGAATACATTTTAGTCTGAAATGGGTGATACTAAAAGTACACAAATGAGACTTGTCTTGTTTTCCTTTGACTGAAAAGTCAGTTTAAAGATCAACTTGCCTGACCTACTTTCCTGGCATTTGAGAGAAGACAGGTGATTTCCTATTATCCCAGTTAGTTTCGAAGCTGAGGTGTGGTCCTTATAATACCTCTGCTAAATTAAATTACTAATTATGTAAACCTATTCAATATTTTTTACTTTTTTGTTTTATTAAAACAAAATTTTATAATAAATAATAAAATAACAATAGTTAATATACTGTGTATTGTTATTTTCAAAATAGTTGCTCAGAGTATAAGACATAATCCAAAAGATTCTTACAAAAAAGAAAGAGGCAGATAACACAAAACTCTCTTTTCAATGAATTAAGATAAACTAGTCGTATAAATGAAAAATAGCATATATATTAAAATATTTTTGAAACAGCAAAAGGAGTATAAGTTTTTAAAGTGTAGGACAAACTATAAAGGTATAAAATATTGTTTTGGTTAATGTATCTTCAATTCTGATTACTTAACATCTCTCTTTCCTTTGTCATAGTAGGCAAGTTAGATGAGGTTTTCAAAAGTTTTCGCGCTTAACCCTGAGTTCCACCTTGGTATTTATAAGGGTACTCTTTCCTAGCCACACATTCTTGGTGCTTTCATTTACTCCATGAAGTTATTAATGTTCTTTTTTTTTCATTGCCTTCGAGATTACCTACCAGTATTCTCACTTAATTACACATATATTTAGCTTCGTCTTAGAAAGCTGCAGCAAAACCTAGGTCTTCAGTAAGGAGGGATAAAATCTATTACCTTGTAGCTGTTGTACATATTAGGTTATCTGGAGGAGCTATTATGGATTCTTTCAAAATGAAATCTGCTAAGAAATATATTTTAAAGTTGTGTTTTAAAATTTAACACTATCAACAATTTAGGACCTGCACAGAATGTGCAGCAACTTAGTAGCCTAATACCTGAAATTCCCTAGACAGAGAGGCTGATAATGACCACAAATACAGTAAGAGAAGATGTATTAATACTCTCAGTCATTGGAAGGGTCCTAGAGTAATATCTTGAAGATTTTCTAAAAGACATAAGTTTTATATTTAAGAAATTTAGGTAGAAAATGTGTGGGCAAAACGAAGATATTCTCAGACTATGAAACTGTGTTGAATTGAGAGAAACTAGTTAAAGAAAAATATTGCAAAACTTTTTTATTTTCAAGATAAATTGTGTACATACATAAAGAACTTGGAAGAACATAATCATCAATATCTGAAATTATAATTCAAGTGTAAAAGCAGATAGATAATATAAGCAATATGAATAAAATGATGATAAATTCAGAAAAAGAATGTTAGAGAAC